AAAAAAAACGAAACAGTAGAGAAGAGAGAGGAGAGTGAGAGAGTATGCTTTATTTCATAAACAATACATTAAAAAATTTAAATAACTAACAATAAGAAAAATACGCAGATAGAAACGTCTGGAGAGACACTTTTTTTTATAAGACAAAGGAGAACAGATAAAACAGAGGCTTGCAGGAGTCATGACGGACCAGAGATGGTCAAAAACGTTGAGTATCAGTGATGAACTGACATACAGCTTTGTAGATTAAATGAGTCGCATCTTGATCAAGGGTAGAACGCAGTAACAAATGATCTAAGGTCATAGGTAAATCCGCAGTTTCAAGCATGGCAAACAGGATCTTACGACTCTGTTTATAAGCAGGACACTTCAGGAAAAAATGTTCAGAGTCCTCTATTTCACTTCTGCTAGGGTTCTGTGACAGGTAAAAGTTGCAGAAATAGTCATTAGTTAGTTTATGTTGCTTAAGGTGATATTTCAGCCCAGAGAAATCAACCCTAAGTCGACAGTAGAGGGCATCAATACGGCGAGACTCAAACGAGGGGAGCTTTATCTGAATACCAGTATGCATGATTTTCAGATCTCTTCTAAATATTAGCGGTTTACAACGACAAGCCATTGATGGATGGTCTGAAATTAGCTCATTCCATTCCTTAATGACAGAAGGAAAAAAAAGAATTAATGAAGAAAGCACTTTTGTCACAGTAATTGTAGATTTTAATAGATGAATTTAAACACAATGAATATGTAGAATTTGGCTGAACATAAGTCAGATATTGATGATTGATTCTTATCAGGCCCATATAGATTTTGTAAAACGTACATAAGCGATTAAGATGAAACAAGTGAGAAATGGATAGCCATGAAAGATCGTGCAACAGTTTCTAGTCTCATTTCAGACAGTTTAAAAGTCAGTTTAAAAGTCTCATAAAGCTATGGATACCGTTTGCCTTACCAAGAACAAAATTTACATGAGCATCCCAAGATAGATTAAAAGACAAAAAAAGCTCTAGGTGTTTGTGAACAGAGACCTAACGCAGAGGTTTTCCCTGTATTAGATAAACAAGTTTGCTTAATGGGACGCCTCATAAAGAGCTGTGCGACACATTTATCAATATTTAAATCGATTTGCCACGTATCACATCAGGTGGAAATTTTTTTCAAGTCTCGGTTGATTGCTTTGGTTGACTTTTCTATAGAATCACTGTGATGAAACAGCACGGCATCATCAGCAAAAAGTTTAATAAGGGATTCTAACTCATCACCCAGAGCAACTGTTTCTTTCTTGCAAAATGAGTCGTCGTGATAATATTGCAATTAAATCAAAACAAAATCCAACACAGCAACCTTCGTCGCCAGTAATTTCAGCTCATTTATCGGATGTCACAGGTAAAATGGCCCTTTTTTGTTTTTGCGATAACTCCATCGTTTTTTGTGCAATCTGCTCAAACTTTTTTTTAAATGATGCGTCATTTAATTCTCTACAAAAACACGTGTCACCAATTTTCTCAGAGTAGAAATTCTTAGAGTTATAAAAGAAGAAGCGAGG